TAGGAGACCTTGAAGTTTAAATGTTTCTTGGGATGTTAAGTATGTTTTACAGTGCTGTGGAGATAATAACAGATTACTATTTTTAAGGAAAAGCATTCAGCAAATGAACACATAACATGATATCAGTTTTGAAAGCTCCTGAAAGATTTCACATTTCTTACAAAGAATTCTGGGCAAAAGACGGCTGTGTTTTTATATTTACAAGATAGATGAAAGTAGTTTTATAATAATCCAAGTGCTGAGAATGAGGGGATTCTCATTCAAGGGGCCAAAGTGTTCGTTCTGATGTCTGTACAGTATTGACATAAAATACTTTTGGAAGCATTTCCAATTGTTTCTACCACCCAGTTAAATATGTACCAAGTAACTACCCACTAAGTAACAGGTACTTGGCTATTGACAAGGGGTGCATGTCTTGGGAGCTTGTGGTGGAATAGAGGAGACAGACTCATAAATGGAAATTTTAGCACATCCTAAGAGCTATGATAGAAGTCTGTGTGGGGACTGGGAGGAAGGGCCCTTAGCCCAGAAGTGGGAGTGAGAGTTGGGGTCAGGGGAGGGAGGGAGGCAGGGTCAGGAAAAAGGCTGTAGGAGTGTTGGAGCTAGTGAGTCTTCAGTGAGTGCTGGGTATTAAGTGAACATGAGTTGGTGGGTGAGGAAGGGGCAAGAGGAACAGCAGGAGCCAAGTCCCAGAGCTGTGAGAAACGATGTTACTGAAGGTAAGGGGGAAGAAGCCGCCTGTGAGGAAGGCAGGGCTTGGACTTCTGTCATTCTAAGAAGATTGGACTCCATGCTAAAAGCAATACAGAGCCACTGAAGGATTTTTAAATAGTGTAGGACAAGCTTGTCCAACCTGTGGCCCATGGGCTGCAGGGAAGATACTATAAGATACTGGCTTTTTTATTTCAAGTTTGAAAAGCTGTTCCAAATTATCTTTGGTTTTTCAAAAGTTCATTATATCTACACTTAAAAATACAATTTCTTTTTTCTTTCTTTCTTTTTTTTTTTTTTTTTGAGACAGGGTCTTGCTCCATCACCCAGGCTGGAGTGCAGTTGTACGATCATAGCCTATTGCAGCCCTGACTTCTTGGGCTCAAGTGATCCTCCCACTTCAGCCTCCCAAGTAGCTGGGATGACAGGCATGTGCCACCACATCCAGCTAATTTTTTAATTTTTAATTGTATGAAGAGATAGGGTCTCATTATATTGCCCAGGCTGGTCTTGAACATCTGGGCTCAAGCAATATCTCCTGCCATGGCCTCCCAAAGTGCTGAGATTACAGGTGTGAGCCACCGCACCCAGCCAGCCCTCAATTGCATTGTTGAAATTCTGAATTATTGGTCTTAAGATAGTGTTACAGTGTAACTGGCACCATAAAACTATTCAAAAATGTTTCATTGCTAAGACACATTAAGGTAAATTATTAACATTTATGAAGCCGGGGGAAGATGGCGTTCTCATATTTTATTCCTTCTTTACGGTTTCTTCCAGTAGCTTTGGACTGGAACTCTCCCCTCTATGGGTTGTCACAGAACTCTCTGATATATCATTTCATCTTTTTCAGTATCTTTAGATGGAGACAGTACACCTGAGCCTGGAGGAAATGAATCCTCTAATCTCTTTTTTAAAGCAAAAGATGAGGCTTCTGAGTCAGTTAGATGAGGATTTTCATCCCTTCTTTGCTTATGATGGAGCAGTGTAACCGGACAAATTCCCAAGGCCCCGTATTTCATATACAGTTTTTGTGCATCAGAAATCTATGAGTGTCTTTGAGGGTTCTGGCTCCAAGTCTCTCATGAGACTACGGTCAAGATGTCGGGCAGGGCTGCAGTCATCTGAAGGGCTGAGAATCTACTTTCAAAGTAGTTCACTCACATGGCGGGCATATGGATGCTGGCTGTTGGCCTCAGTTGACTTTTCCAGACAGTGTCCTCATAACATGGTGTCTGTCTCCCACAGCATGAGTGTTCAACCATATTTGATGAGAACAACGGCAGCATGCTGTAATTTGACTTAATAGAACAAATTGAATTTGTATTTCAACTTTTACATAAAGCAAAGTACATTTAACATTTTTAAATAGCGATATCAACAACAGTTTTTGATGTGTGTGGGAGGGCTTCTGGGCATTGGGGGTTGTGGTCTTGTCAAACAATATTGTTGCTCTGGCATTGCACAGACTCAGACTTTGGTTTGAAACATTAGTATTTCATTGACCATCTTGGTCTATATTAAGTTCTCCAGAGGCCATGAGTTTGTGGCTTGAATTTTCATATCTCATGTAAAATGGGAAGATAATTAAAACAGGAGGATAATTTTGTAAAAAATTATTTTCTATGGATTTATTTGAATGGGCATTTAAATCCATTATTATACATAAAATATTAGTGGGTAGAAAACAAAATTCAAGTAGATTTTATAGAGAAACTCTAATGTATTAGGGTTCTCCAGAGAAACAGAACCAATAGGGTATATATGAATATGTAGAAAGAGATTTATTATGAAGGATAGGCTTACACAATTATGGAAGCCATGAAGTCGCACCATTTGCCGTCTGCAAGCTGAAGAACCAGAAGAGCTGGTGCTGCAGTTCTAGGTCAAGCCTGAAGGCCTGAGAACCAGGTGAGCTGGTGGTGTAAGTCCTAGTCAGAGTCTGAAGGCCCAAGAACCAGGCGTGCTGATGTCTAAAAGTAGGAAAAGATGGATGTCCCAGATCAAGTAGACAGCTTCAGCCTTTTTGTTCTATCCTGGCCCTCAACAGATTGCAGGATGCCTGCCCGCATTGGCGATGGGGATCTTCTTCACTCAGTCTACTGATTGAAATGCAAATATCTTCCAGAAACACCCTCACAGACATACCCCAAAATGATGTTTCACCAGCTGCCTGGGCATTCCTTAATCTAGTTGAATTGACATATCAGATTAACCGTCACACTCAGCATCTTATTTGGAGCATCATTTAATAATTTTGGTTTCCAAGGCATTGCAATTACTGGAGCCTTGTATTTTCCGTAGATACATCGAGGGATTGGTTTTCTTTTTATCTGTCTTTTTAAAGCTATCAAAGAGTTAGAGGGAGAGGCAGCAAGAAGTCTTAGTGAAATACACTTGTGAGAAGCAAGGAAATACAGTCATGTGTTGCTTAACAATGGGGAAACATTCTGAGAAATGTGTCGTTAAGTGATTTTGTCGTCGTTCGAACATTCTGGAATGTACTTGCAGAAACCTCGATAGTCTAGCCTACTACTCACGTAGGCTCTATGGTATGGTCCATTGCTCCTGGTCAATAAACCAGCACAACATGTCACTGTACTGAATACTGTAGGCACCTGTAACACAGAGGTTTTTGTGTATCTAAACATAGAAAAGATACAGTAAAAATACAGTATTACAATCTTACAGGACCGCCAGTGTATGTGGAGTTCACTGCTGACTTAAACATCACGTTGTGGGGCATGGCTGTATTTACTTTGGACTACCCCCAGCAGGGTCTTATACCACCTGCTAATACCGGGTAACAACCCAAACTCATCATGTCCCTCCCTCCTAAAACCTGAACATTCTGCTCATGTGATTTTCTTGTGCTCTGCAGCTGGTGGCCCTGTTCACCTGGTCATGGCTCCAAGCCATGGCCTGATTGGGGACCCTTTTATTGCTCCTCACCTCCAAAAGAGCCAGACCCGCGGGTTCTGCCTGCCTTAGCAATACCGCCCAGCTCTTTCTTTCCATTTACTTCCTCCTTTCCCACTGTCTCTGCCCCAGTGTCCGTCATTTCTCTCCTGGGCTACTGCAGAGGTTCCTAATGGCCTCTGGGCTCCTCATCTTCTCTCAACTGCTTGCAGGTTAATTTTGCCTACCTAAAATTCATGTATTCTCAATGACTATTAAATAAAATTCCAGTGTCTCAGCGGCTGGAGGTGCTCCACCGAAAGGCACCAAGTTACCTTTTGTATTTAATGTCATCATCTTCTCTTGACAATCGTAAAAAGGGGACTGTACACTCTAATATGAACCTTCTCCTTAATTCTTTGCTCTTGTTCTTTCTGTAAATGCTGTGGGCCCCAATCCCACCCATCCTTTAGGACTTATCTTAAATGCCGCCGCCCCTGCAAAGATTTTCCTCCTGACTTCCTTTTTCGTCTACCAGACCTGTTGTTTCTCTTTTTTGGTGGCTCACTGAACTTTGTATCCCTCGTGCTATTTAATCATAATCCATTTCTTTTAACGTAGCGTGTGTGTATTTAACCTTATTCCTGCATTTTTTGCTAGCTGGACTTGATAAATGGTTGTATAAATCCATTGGGAAAAAAGTATTCAAGATAGGAAAGGTCAAAATTACAGTGTTATCAGATACAATGTAAAGCTATGCAGAATTTTAAAAATTACGTATATATAATACAGATACATACATGTTTGTATATTATTTTGCTAAGATGGCTTTGTTCTAGTAATGAAGGATACAAAAGTGTGGCATTACGTTTTATTCATGGCTGCACCTAAAAAATTATTTGCGTCCCAGAAGATAATTTGAGGACATAAAAATGCTCCAACATCTCTTTCATTCGGCATCGTGTCTAAAAACGCCGACAAACGCTATGTTTGAGAGCGGAGGCTACGCTGAGGCGCGGGAGGAGAAAGGCCTTTAAGAACCTTCCAGAGATGTCTTAACTCGGGCTAACAGCTCGCCCGGGCCAGGGCAGGCAGAGGGGTGCGGGGCGCGCTCCTTCCAGGACTTCCCAGTCCCCAAGAACCAGGCCGACCGGTTCCCACCGCCGACTCCCGCCTCCCTCTGCAGGCCCCGGGCCCCGCGCCGCGCGCCCTCTCCCCGGCGGGGGGCCTGGAGGGCAGGGCGGGCGCGCGCAAGGGTCGGGGTCCCGAGGCGGGAGGCCGCGCGCAATCGGGGTTTCCAGGTGAAGGGCAGGAAAACAACCGGTCGGTCTGGGCGGAGCCGGGCGGGCGGGGCGAGGGCGGAGGGTGCATTGCCTCATCCTGTACATTTTACTGGAAACCGGACGCATCCGGAGGAGGGGCGGGGAGGCGGCCCGGGCACCGCCAATGGCCGGGCCGGGCTCCGGGGAGGCCGGTTAAATACCCTGGCCGCCCCGGGGCGCGCCCGTACCCGCCCGCGCCGTGCGCCCGCCGACAGCTCCTCGAGCCCGCCCGCGAGGCAGCCGCGCGCAGCGAGCCGGTGGCGCAGGTGTCGGGTCCCCGAGCGCGCAGCCCGGGAGCATGATCGTGGACAAGCTGCTGGACGACAGCCGCGGCGGAGAGGGGCTGCGGGGCGCGGCGGGCGGCTGCGACCTCATGACCAGCCCGCTCAACCTGGCCCACTTCTACGGCGCGTCGCCGCCCGCCGCCGCCTGGGACGCCAGCTGCTCGGCCTCGGGCCCCTCGGCGCCCGGCTCGCCTGGCTCCGACTCCTCCGACTTCTCCTCCGCCTCGTCGGTGTCCTCCTGCGGCGCCGTGGAGTCCCGGCCGAGAGGCGGCGCGCGCGCCGAGCGCCAGCCAGGTATCCGACGGCCCCACCACCGCGTCCTCGGGGCGCGCGCCTGCGCGGGTGGGAGCGGGACTCCCAGGGGGAGGGTGGCCGCTGCGCCCGCCTGCGCCCTCCTGAGCCCTCCTGAGCGGCGGGGCGTGCGCACCTTCGCCAGCAGTTACCGGGAGACCGCGCCCTGCCTGGCCCGGGCCTGCCCGCCTCGCCGGCCCGCGGGCCTCGGGGCTTCGGAAACGCCTAGCCCGGCGCTGACTGCCGGGCGAATGACCCGGAGATCGCTCACTCTTTGAGCAGCAGCTTCGTTGAGTCATAATTAACGTAGTGTGATGAGATTTGGGGTCTGATGTAGGTGTGATTTTCTTCTTGTAACGATTTTAGTGAAAGACTGCAGTTAGGGGATAAGGGTTTGGGAACTGTGTTAAAGGTCATGACTGACTTCTTCCTGAGTATTTATGGAAGTTTTAAGTGAAAAGATTTGACTGTCCAAGAAAAGAAACTGCTGTTATCAAGGTGAAGCCGGGCTGAAAACCAACTCAAGTTATGCCTTTAGTTTGGCGAGTTTGGCGAGTTTCGGAAGTCTGCCCAGAATTTCTGAGGTCTTGTTTTTGTTCTCTGTGCCTTAAAAAAATGGATTAGCCGTAAAGAAAGACGTAATGTTATCTTTTGTCGGCTGCGAATTGGTTAGTTTTCTCTAAGTGAACCGAGTTGCATAATCTGGGGGGAACAGGATGCCCCTGTGGGTAGGCTAGAAAAGCGCCTCAATTGAACGTTGAGAATCTTTTAAAGAACGTCTCCTTCCGGTGTTTCCCACTCTTCTGTTTTGGTTGTCATTTATTTTAAAAAGTGATTTCTCATTTTCATTTTAAGTCATTTAAAATCATGTAAAAAGTGATTTAAACCACTGCTTGCTAAATGTGTAGCAGATCCAGAAAGAATGTGTGTATAGGACCTTTTCTCCCACATTTGGCTTTCAGCTGGCGGAAACTTTGCTAGGCCCTTGGTTTACCGCACAGCCACAGGGGATTTCTGAAACTGCATTTTTTTCTCTCTGTGACGTTGGATTACTAACTGTTGTCATTCCAGAGAAATGCAGTATCTTAGATTCTGCCAATTCTGGTATCTCTTGAAATCCCTAAACTGAAAAATAAAGCCAACTAATGTTTCACTTACCCTATCACCGAACTGTTTATTTCATGTATTTATGATAGATACATATGTTCAAATTATGAGTTGTTTTTTGTCCCATCTTATTTTTTTCTACACTTGATGGAGTGGCCGAATTATTCATTTCCTGACTTTTTGTGAATTCGTCTTCAACAAACGTACTAAGAGGTTGTGACATAATAGTGATCAGAAGTGTAGTACTGCGTTTCTATACTAAATGCTAAAGTGGATTTCAGAATTTAAAAGTGAAACAAGCAGATTTCCTTTTTACTTAGAAGGCCTGTATAAGTAATTCCAAAAACAGTCAGTGAGGGGAAATCCTGTGTGCTTATGTGGAAATGTGTTTAAGCTCGGTGAATTTAAGCAGCTTTCTTGGCACAGTTGAATTGAAGGAAATAATAAGTCATAAATCTAAGACATTGTTAATTGTCAGGTTTTGGTACATTGAGATCTTTGACGGAAGTTGTTTTGTGCCTTCTTAGGTGAGCGGAATTAATAGACGTTAAAATTTCGATGTGAACGTAAAACCATTGGTTTAAAAAGCTAAAAATGCACCATTATCACTTGCTCCCTGAGGTTTTACAAAAGTCAAGAATAATTACAGAGCTATGAGAGTCACGATGGCAAAATTTGTGATCCATTCTCATGGGTGGTTGGAGCTGAGATGGAGAGGCTTGATTTGGGTTTATCTATTGGCTCTGAGGATCCTTGACCACATTTTTATGAACTTTAATTTCTTAGGGTACCCAGTAGAGAAAGATATCAGGCAACGTAGGACTCTTGAGCAGAGCTGGGGACACACAAGGCCATTGATTGACCGGAGCGAGTTAGAAAGGTTTTGCAGTCTGCCGCTTGGGGAGTTTATGCATTAGGCAACAGCTGTACTTTTGGGATTATTAACGTTTCTGTCTGTGAAGCTCTTTAACCAGGAGTATGTTTTGTTTTCTTTTGAACAGTTGAGCCCCATGTGGGGGTTGGCAGGCAGCACAGAGGCCCCTTTCAAGGTGTTCGGGTAAAGAACTCGGTGAAAGAACTCCTGTTGCACATCCGAAGTCATAAACAGAAGGCTTGCGGCCAAGATTTTAAGGTGACATCATTTTTCTGTTTTGAGTGTGGGGTGGGGTGGAGGGGTTAGTCTGTCAGGGTTATGATGACCTGGGTCCGGTCATCAAATAAGTCACTTGGAATTTTTCATAGATGACAAAGTTCGTAGGACAGTGACCATATTTGTCTTCTCTGCCGTATCCTACTACTTAGCCCAGTACCAGACACTTGGTGTAGGTGGGCAAGAGAAACTTAATGAATGAATAAATGAAGGCAAGGTCAGGGACTCAGTTGAAATGGAACATTTTAACGAGAAGGGGAAAAAATCAAATGGTCTTATTCATTTCATCTTGACCTGCGTTGAGCTAAGGTGAAAGTGAAAATGAGGAAGTTTCAAGACAGAATAAAAATTGACATAGAAAATAAATATTGATAGAAAAACCATATCAGAGATTTATGGTAAGCTATAAAGGGTGGTGGAGATAAGCCTACTTATTGATGTACATTAAGAGGAAGTCATATTGTATACACTAACTTGGAAACTTTTTTTTTAATAGACACAAGGTGTGAACATAGAACAGTTCACAGGTAAGAGTCACTTGTATTCATCATTTTTTTGGGGCTTCAGAGTAAAATAATATAATTGTGGGTAATGTTTATAAAATAAAATGATCACAGAGGCTGTATTCCTTTTTTGGGTATAGAATTGAAGAACACAGTATCGTATGGTGGGAAAAGGAAAGGGCCCGATTCGTTGTCTGATGGACCAGTTTGCAAAAGGCCAGCTCTGTTGCATTCCCAATTTTTGGTAAGTATCTCACCATTTTCCTCTGACTCTCCCTTGGGAATTACTCCTGGGATAATTTTAGAAGGAAGTGAGTGTGCAAGTTGCATTTTCTTTCTTTCCAGACACCACCTCAAACACCAACATCTGGGGAGAGCATGGAAGATGTTCATCACAGTGAACCCAAGCAGGACAGCAGTGCTGATCTGCTCCAGAACATTATCAACATTAAGAATGAATGCAGCCCCGTGTCCCTGAACACAGTTCAAGTTAGCTGGATGAGCCCTGCGGTCGTCCCCCAGAGCTCCCCAGCAGAGCAGTGTCAGGACTTCCATGGAGGGCAGGTCTTCTCTCCACCTCAGAAATATCAGCCATTCCAAGTCAGCGGCTCCCCACAGATGATAGACCAGGCTTCCCTGTACCAGTATTCTCCACAGAACCAGCACGTAGAGCAGCAGCCACACTACACCCACAAACCCACTCTGGAATACAGTCCTTTTTCCAGACCTTCCCAGTCCCCCACTTATGAACCAAACCTCTTTGATGGTCAAGAATCACAGTTTTGCCCAAACCAAAGTTTAGTTTCCTTTCTGAGTAGTCACGGGGAATCTGAGAATATTGCTCATCCCATTCAGACTTCCTCCAGCGTTCAGCCGCAAAACGGTGCCCACTTGCACAACTTCAGCGTGATGCCCAACAGCACCTGTGACGCCATGGCGGGGCATGAGATGGCCCCTGACTCTTCCAGCATGCCACTGCCATTCCCTAACATTGGAAATCCAATGAACACCACACAGTTAGGGAAGTCATTTTTTCAGTGGCAAGTGGAGCAGGAGGAAAGCAAATTGGCAAATATTTCCCAAGACCAGTTTCTTTCAAAGGATGCAGATGGTGACACGTGAGTGTCCTTTTATGTCATGTTCTTAATTCGGTAAGCCACACTTGTTGGAATAGTGAGCCTAGACTTTTGCTAGGGTATACCAGGGTATACCTTAGTTAGTGGTTGGCTAACCAAGATGACTAGTGTAGACAGAAGGCGCCACTCAGTGATAGCTAATATATCAAGAAAGGGTTTTCCCAGAAATTGTTTTTGGCTGAAGAAATAACCTGTTCTAAATTGATAAAAATATCTGTGTCTTCTTGAGTAATTGGGTTTGGAAGACCAGCTTAGACTATGTCTGTAGAACAGAAACAATTAGATCATGACGAGGGATAAACTGTGAGTTGGTTTGTAGATCTGAATCTGTCCCGATGTCTTTGTGGCCTTGGACAAGTTATTTACCCTCCTTGTGTCTCAGTTCCTTGACATGGAAAATGATAATATCTCCCATATAGGAGTTTTATGAGTATTAAAAATAATAGACTTAAAGCGATCAGCATGGTGCTTGACGTTGTTTTTCTTATTTCTGGTAGCCTAACTCATCCTGCTCCAACTGGGATATATTATCAGTGTAGCAGGAAAGACAGATTATTCTTTGTAATGTTTCACTTGAGTATACCAATATATAAAAAGGAGGCTGAAGGAAGGTTTTTTTTTTTTTTTTTTTTTTTTTTTAAGAGGAACGTAGTGAAATCAAATAATTCACCTCTTTTCCTTTCCTTTTTTCCCAGGTTCCTTCATATTGCTGTTGCCCAAGGGAGAAGGGCACTTTCCTATGTTCTTGCAAGAAAGATGAATGCACTTCATATGCTGGATATTAAAGAGCACAATGGGCAGGTGAGGGCCTTGGCAGAGTCTGAGACGGCAAAGAGGGGGTCACGGTGAAGTGAACGATGACCAGCCTCTTGCGTAGATCATCTCAGAGCTCAAGATCAGAGAGATTAGTTAATATTAACTTCGAGATATTGACTTTTTGCCACCATCAACCTTGAGGTTATTAACATTAACTTTGTAGCTATTTGACCAAACACTGAGGGTAATAAAGCCACACCCAAGGCTTATTTTGGTTTCCTTGTCTTGCAGTATCTGATTGCTTATTAAAAGGATTTATTTTCTCTATGTGGGTTTTTCCCTCTGTCACAGTTTAGTTTCATATTTCTTGTTACGATAACATTGTGTGTTTAAAATGACTTTTTTTCTCTGAATATCCACAGAGTGCCTTTCAGGTGGCAGTGGCTGCCAATCAGCATCTCATCGTGCAGGATCTGGTGAACCTCGGGGCGCAGGTGAACACCACTGACTGCTGGGGAAGAACACCTCTGCATGTCTGTGCTGAGAAGGGCCACTCCCAGGTGCTTCAGGTGAGAGGCAGCTTCCGTCACCTCGAGGCCAGAGAGATAGAGTTGGATATTAGAAGTTGGAAACAGGTTGCCTGTTGCAATAATCTGTTTTGAGTTAACTTATTCATTTCTTGGGGATTCTAATACTTAGGTATCTGTGCAGCTTGTGATGCTAACAGATGTCTGTTTTTAAAATCTGCAGGCGATTCAGAAGGGAGCAGTGGGGAGCAATCAGTTTGTGGATCTTGAGGCAACTAACTATGATGGTAAGCAGCTGAAACTTTATTAGATTCAGAGCCCTTAGAGCGGGGGACCGGTAAGGTCGAAGAGCACTAAGGATCATACTAAGCAGGAAGGGAGATGATAAAAGCTAGAGTATTCTGTAGGTAAAATTAGCACCAAGACCCAATGAAGGGACTGTATTCAGACTGCCTTAGTTCTGGTGGAGCCCATTGGCAGGTAGAGTTAGAGGCCGTCCTCAACGTTTGTCATTAGAGAAGGACCAAAAGACCTGATGGGATGCCTGACCGCTGCTTGATTATGCTTTTCTTCCAGGCCTGACCCCTCTTCACTGTGCAGTCATAGCCCACAATGCTGTGGTCCATGAGCTCCAGAGAAATCAACAGCCTCATTCACCTGAAGTTCAGGAGCTTTTACTGAAGAATAAGAGTCTGGTTGATACCATTAAGTGCCTAATTCAAATGGGAGCAGCAGTGGAAGCGAAGGTAAGTTCACAGAAAAGGTCTGAGATGGGATAGGGGAGAAAGTGGTTCTAGCAAAAGACCTTGCTTCCAAGTACAGATTCAAACTGCATTTTTTCTTTTTTGAAATTAATGGTGAGAGTAGCCATGTATGGGTGGTTAAGAAGCCCAGATTTTAACAGATCATTTCATGTTTTATTGATTTGCTTTAAATCCGTGGATTATTATCCAAAAGGTCAGTTGGGTGTAAAAGAAATTAGTCTTTGGAAGGAAAAGAAAATGCTTGAAATTGATATTGTCATTTTGGCTTCCGTGTTCATACACTGAGAATAAAGGTAGGGCTTTTTGTAAGGATTTCTTCATTGTTGTAGGATGTAGAATTCATCTTCTGTGTTTTAAACTGGAAAATATTTTATTCTTTTCAAATTTTGGTTTTACTCACTGGGTACATGGGGAAAAAATGCCTAGTCATAAACTGTTTGGACTCTTGAGGCTTACTGTCTAGTAAAAGAGGTGAGAGATACAGCTAAATATATGTCTACAGGGAGGCCATCAAGTCTGGAAACACAGGTGAATAACAATAAACGGTTTACCGCTATGTTATGACACGGGATTTAAAAATATCATTTATTTTTTCTACATTTTATGACCACTCTGTATAAAAGGGTACGTTGTGACAAGGGGCATGTCAGCAAATTCATAGGAAATTTAAGAAGAATAAAAGATTCCACTTAGCTTGGGATTAAGCAGGGCATTGTGGAGAAGGGCACATTCAAAGTGAGCCTCCAAAGCTGAGTGAGACATTCGAGAGACTGGGTGAAAAGTGTTTTCCAAGGCATGGTATCTAAATTTGCTTTTTTTCCCCCCCTCCTCTTGCCTTGGACAAGGATCGCAAAAGTGGCCGCACAGCCCTGCATTTGGCAGCTGAAGAAGCAAATCTGGAACTCATTCGCCTGTTTTTGGAGCTGCCCAGTTGCCTGTCTTTTGTGAATGCAAAGGTACTTTGAGAAAGCTTTAATAACCACACCAGAGTTGGAATGGCCTTCTGTACACCTCCGAGTATTCTCAGCTCCTTTCACGGGATTTCCTCCTTCCTGATGTCTGGTGTTGCATTCTTTCTCTTCAGGCGTACAATGGCAACACTGCCCTCCATGTTGCTGCCAGCCTGCAGTGTCGGCTGACACAACTGGATGCTGTCCGCCTGTTGATGAGGAAGGGAGCAGACCCAAGTACTCGGAACTTGGAGAACGAACAGCCAGTGCATTTGGTTCCTGATGGCCCTGTGGGAGAACAGGTGAGAGGCATGGGACGGGGAGGAAGTACTTTTTGGCACCCCAGCCTGAAACGTAAAAGGGAGCTGAGGCCGTGCAGGGCAAAGGCCAGCTGTGGCTCTTCAGGTGGGCTCTGTCAGTGTGTGTCTCACAGCAGCTTGGAGTTACTCTTCCTTTGGAAACAGAGCAGTTAAGAAATTTGAGGGTTTATTTGTAGACTCAAAATGATTAGTCAGGTAGTCTTTTCTGTAGCACAAACTTAGGTTTAGAGTAAGTCAGAACGGTTTAAGGTCTGGAAAGGAAAGGTACAAAGGCTCCGGCAGGTACCAAGGAAAGAGAATCTTGGTTTTGTAAGGTGTGTGCCTCCACGTATTGTGGATATTAAATGAGTTGTTATTTGTGGAGTGCTCACGATAGTCCCAGGCACGGAGTAAGAGCTCAGGGAACATCAATAGTTAGAAGTATTTCTATTTACGAAGTGATACTGAACAAAAAATGGAAAAGGTACTTACGTAATTTCAAACCTAGAAATAGTTTATACTTTAAACAGAATTAATGCTTTATTCATCAAGTGTGCTTATATATTATTGAGAATTGGATAGTTTCATGAGTAAATAAGAACTTACTCCTTTAAGAATTTGAAGGGTTTTTGATGGAAATCCTTTCCTGGCAGGAATGAGGGGGATTGTGGCTGTGGCTAGGTCATTACATACTTTACTAATCACAAAATAAAATATGTGGAATGCAGTTTAGCATTCTGAGCTGTCATTATGACCACAATGTTACAGTAGCCCCTATTTGTACAGCTCTTTGTAAAGTCTTTTGATAGTTGGTAAAGAGTTTTCATGTGTATAGTTTAATGTTAGAAGAACTTTGCAACTTTCAAGTTTCAGCTGAAAAAATTGATATTCAGAGAGATTCCAAGGACCAGAACCATCATTAACTTATAAAAGGCCGAGTCCTACGCCCAGTATTTGCTCCTACTTCCCTGTCTGTGGAGTCCTATAACTATGCTCTCAGGGATTATTGAGGTGTTGAGCCATTTAACTCTTCATTAAATGTTTTCAGATTATTCTCTTTGTTGCTTTGGTATTTTGTGTATTTTGGGCAGGTAGAGGTCTTCTCCCTTCCTTTCATCGTCAGCCTGTGGTCGTGTGTTTCCTTCCAGCAGCTGTCAGTTGTACCCCCTACCCCAGTCCGCCTTCTTCCAAATTGCTGCTGCTAATCTGCTGTAGGCTGAGAGATAGAAAATAAAATTTGTCAGACCGGGGTATAAAATGAATCACTCCGAGTGAGCCGGGATCTTTTCTGTGATCCACGAAGTTAAGTGCAGATGCTTTAATACTTGAATATCATGGCAGCTGTTTTGACTCGAATGTATTAGGGATTTACTTTTGTGTGTATCATAAGGTGGGTTTTGTGTTCCCGTTAGTTGAGGCTGACTTCAAGATGAGTGAGATATCATAATATGCCTGAATTGCTGCCTTATACTAAATGTTCTCGCAAATAGCAAGAGTAAAGATTGGGAAGAGAACCTAGGTGTTATTTAAACTTATGGAAATTTTTAGCTTCAGATAATTTTTAATGGAAATGTTTTACTTTCTTGGACCCAAAGATTATTATAGGAGATCCAAAATAAGCTTTAAAAGGAGTTTAGGATTTTTGAAGGTCACCTTAAAATCTTGACAAGTATTGTGTGTATTTCTTCGTATACCTACAAGATAATAGGAGTAGCGTAGCATGCATAACAAAGGAATAAAGCTCAGAAGGAAATGCACCATATTGGCCATAAGAAATAAACCTCAGAAATTTATTTATTTCTCTTCCAGATCCGACGTATCCTGAAGGGAAAGTCCATTCAGCAGAGAGCTCCACCGTCTTAGCTCCATTAACTTGGAGCCCTGGCTAGCAACACTCACTGTCAGTTAGGCAGTCCTGATGTATCTGTACATAGACCATTTGCCTTGTATTGGCAAATGTAAGTTGTTTCTATGAAACAAACATATTTAGTTCACTATTATATAGTGGGTTATATTAAAAGAAAACAAGAAGAATATCTCATTTCTCTTGGCAGATTTGCATATTTTCTACCCAGGTATCTGGGATCTAGACATCTGAATTTGATCTGAATGGTAATATTGCCTTCAATTGACAGTAGCTTTTGAGTAGGAGAGGACTTTGATTTGTGGCACAGAGCGTTATTCATGTGGCTATTGCCAGTGTCAAAGCAAAGTAAATCGTGAATGGTTCTTTAAGAAAAACGAAAGCATGTGAAAGGAAAACGGTAAATAGAGCATTGAGGCTTCATTCGGCCTGATGCAGTACCTGGGAGTTACTGGCATTGGAGAGGCTTCAGTCATTGGACTAGATGAAAGGTGTCCATGTTTAGAATTTGATCTTTGTAAACTGTATATAATTGTTCTTTTTGTCCTTAAAACTGTTGTACATACTTGGTCATTAACATGGTCATATTTGAAATGTATAAGTCTAAAATAGAAAAGAACAAGTGAATTTTTGCTATTTAAAAAGTTTTTACAATTCTAAGGAGTTTTTATTGTGTAATCATGAAGTCTTTATAGATAAAGCAGATGGGGAGTTGTGGAGTTGTTCATTTAGTGGCTGAAAGATATGTTTGAAGTGTAAAGATGCTTTTTCTCATGCATTGCAATTAGACATTATTTGTAGGGAATTGCATGCTTTTACTTTTTTTTCTCCCGAGACAGGGTCTTGCTCTGGCACCCAGGCTTGAGTGCAGTAGTGTGATCCTGGCTCACTTCAGCCTTGACCTCCTGGGCTCAAGTGATCCTCCCATCTCAGCCTCCTGTGTACCTGGGACTACAGGTGTACACCACCAATGCATGACTCATTTTTTTACTTTTTGTACAGGCGTGATCTTGCCGCCTTGCCCAGGCTGGTCTTGAACCCCTGAGCTCAAGCCATCTGCCTGCCTTAGCCTCCCAAAGTGATGGGATTGCAGTAGTGACCACAGTGCCCGATTGGCAGTTGTATGCTCTTGAGGAGAACGTCTCTTTATGGCTTGCCCTCTAGAATTTCTGATTTATGTGTTCTGTTGAAATTTTTTGTTTTTTTTTTACCTTTATAGAAACAACAAAAAGTCAATATTGAAATACGTCTTCCTATTTTCTATTGTCAAATGACGATAATATGCCATTATGTTTTATATAATATCATTCAGAAAAAGTTATATTTTTAAATAACATTCTGTTAACATTATTTTTCTTAACTCTGGCATACCTGAGGAATGCATTTGGCTTTGATTACACACTAAGTTTTTGTAATAAATTTGACTCATTAAAAACCTTTTTTTTTTTTTAATGAGAAATCTCATTAGTGACTGACTACCTTATCTTTGCAGCTGAGTACTTAAATTCTTTTTTAAAAGATACCCTTTGGATTGATCACATTGTTTGACCCAGTATGTCTTGTAGACACATTGGTTATAATCACCTTGTATCTCCAAATATGGTGTGATATGAACCAGTCCATTCACATTGGAAAAACTGACGGTTTTAAATAAACTAATTCACTAATATTATTTGTCTTATTTGTATTTTCTTTTCCGGGTGCCTTATTTATATTTCCCTAGGTAGAAAAAGTACTATTAATGACAACTTTAAATACCTTGAGTTAGTTAATATATCTTAATTTGGGTTTTTTGGAGAACGTATTTCCTGAAGGTATACAAGATTTAACATCAAAATCTATTTGCTAAGCGTACTGGTAGAGAGGTGTGTTAGGTTCGGAAAATATCATGGAAGTTTAACAGATGCTGTCAATCATTCAGATGCTTATATGCTAAAAAAGAAAAAAACAAGCTAAGTGGGAGCAGTGAATCACAGGAAAAACAGTTTGGAGATTCCAGGATCATCCTTAGAGGGATATAAACCTGGAAAAGATTCTTCACTTTCCCAGCAAGCCATTTTGATGTGTGAAAACAAACACATCAATATCTGTCAGTATGTCATTATAATTACTGCACATATATTCTAGTTCTTAACTGATAGCCTCTTTTGAGAATCTGGTGAAAGCTATGAATCCTTTCCCTGGAAAAATGCAAGTATGTGTATACACATAAATGCTGTGTACATACATACTTGGGGCTTCACAGCCTTCAGAAGACCATGACTCACAAGTTTCCACTTCAGTTTCATTTCTGCACATCAAATAATACTTTTTCTTCTTTCATATAATGAAATTTTAAGAGTAATTTGCTTTGCTGATGCAACCTGTTAACCAGAACAGCAGAAATGATGAACTCTCACTGAACATAGCTCTACAGTGAGCTTTACATAAGTGAGCTGCTATCTTCTCTCTTAATCCTAAATTCTGTCGTTATTAATTGAACCAGGATCTAGCAAGTATGTTTGTGTGCGTGTGCAAAGATGTGAATGATTTGAGGTGAAGACGTGAGACATTTCTTAGCCCTAAGATGCTTACGTGAGAGACGTGGCATGTACTTTATTAGGTAGACTATGTTAAGTAGCATTAAAAAAGAAGTATAGAGATTCAGAGGGGACATTTCTTTCAGACTGGCGAGGATTCAGGGTAGAGCATTTGAACTGTATCTTCTGAAAAGTTGATTTGGATGTTCATATAAAGGAGGAGAGTCAGGTGAAAGAAAGAAACAGCATGAACCAAGACAGTCGTTTGTGGGAATAGCAGGTGATTTTCATATAGCTTAGTTAGAATCTGGAAAGGCCAATAAGATTCAAATTGTGTTCCACCTCTGGTAATATTCTCCAGTATCAAGTTGAGAAAGATCTTCAGGCTCGTAGGGGCTTGTCAGGAGAGGGTGCTGTGATTGATTCATGATATTAGCCACAGGTATATGGGAAATGGCTCTTGATTGAATTCATCTTCAAGCCTCACAGAAGCTAAGACTGTGTGCTTATTGCTAACACTTCAGTGCCTAGCACTGTGCCTGGTACATGGAAGCAGTTCATAAAATACTGGTTAAATGGGTGAATGAATGTATGCCAATCCTGGTTAGAGTCACTGGTTTTGTTTGGGGAGGCGATGTTTTGAAGAAGACTTATACTATTAATTACTAATGAATTATTGACTGTCATGGTTCTGAATTTAATTCTGCCACATGATTTCACAATGACATGGATGACATGGTAATAAAAATGGGCATAGTTGGACTCATTAAAGAAAAAAATCAGGCAGTCTGTCTTTGCAAAGGACTGTTAGCGCTGTAGTTTGATATTCATTGAGGAATCCCTGCAAGAGTCAGAGATCAAATCTTCCAGCTCAATTTGTTAGTCAAATCAGTAACATTTAATATCCTTTCTATATTTTTACTTAATCAGGACAGGAGAATTTCCTCAAAACTTCTCTGACTTTTAATAAATGTCAGCTTCTTAAACATATGGTCACTAACTTCCGTTTTCTGATAACCTCAGTTGTTCTGTATTGAATATGACCTCAGAGAAATCCGCTTCAGCCACTGGCTAAATTTGCGGTGATTCCTTTCACATCGGGTCTGGGTACAAGGTTGGAGATTACTTGTAACCATGCTACTAGGTTTTGGCTGTTCTTGCTGGTGCCCTGGATTAATCCTTGAGAGGACAGGGGACACTGCCTTATTCGTCATCAGAGGCCCTGCACCTAGCACAGTATCTGACGCATTGTAGACATTCAATTAAAAGTTCCTAAAGACTTTGTAAAATTTATTTTTTCTTGATGTATTTTATTCTTCAGTGTGTAAATATTTTTATTATTCACATACAGTTTATGACTTAATACAGAAGTACTTTTATGCTTCCAGCCTTTGGAGTCTGTGCAGACCCAGAAATATTGCATGGATGGCACATTTCTAGGAGGAGTAAGATTGGTTTTCTTTCTGTTTGTTTTTTTGACACAGAGTCTTCCTCTGTTGCCCAGGCTGGAGTGCAGTGGCATGATCTTGGCTCATTGCAGCCTCCACTTTCCAGGTTCAAGCAATTCTCGTGTCTCAGCCTCCTGAGTAGCTGAAATTACAGGCACGTGCCACCACGCCTGGCTAATGTTTTTGTATTTTTAATAGAGATGGGTTTCGCCATGTTGGCCAGGCTGGTCTCGAACTCTTGGCCTCGAGTGATCTGCCCACCTCAGCCTCCCAAAGTGCTGCGATTACAGGCATGGGCCCGGCTGATTGTAGAGTCCTCTCAAAATGTGTCTTACTTTCTTCTTTGTACTCCTTGTCCTCTGGCCTGTGCTCCCTGCTCTCTCTATCACACCATTCCCCTTACCTATCAGTCCAAGAGAGTTTGGTGCTGCTGCTGAGTGCCCTAGGTTCAAGGTTTCAGTCTTTGGTGGACATTCGTACCTTGTGTGAAGCTTGTTAAACATGCAAATGCCTAGGCCCCATCCCGCTCTTCCTGGATCAAAATCTCCAGGGTTTTCAGGGCTTCTGGCAGATTATATGTGGTGATCCTAGCACAATTTTTGTCTAAATTAATTAGGGAATGCAGACTCTGGAGGGAGCTGTGGCTGGGCAGTCGCCATATGGTGGTAACAGAATGGGTTGCTGGAATGCCTATGGGATGAACTAGCAGCTGATGAAGGTATGCAGTGTTGGATCCCATGGTATAGAAACCAGCTTTGAAGATACAATCATGAGTCACCTCATGTTTTCCTTCCTGCTTTCAGAAAACGCTTTTTTAAGGTGGTTCTGCTGTTTAAGTTTCTCAACTATATCGGTTTCCTAGGACTGTGTAACAACCACAAACGTGGTGGCTTAACTCAGAGAAAAACATTTCGTCACAGTTCTGGAGGCCAGAATTCTGAAACCAAGATGTTGGCAGCACCAGGCTCCCTCCAAAGGCTCCAGGTGGAATTCATGCCTTGCCTGTTCCAGCGTCGAATGACTCCCGGTGTTCCTTGCCTTGTGGCACTCTAACTCCAGCGTCTACTTCATCTCCACACGGCCTTTTCTTCTTCCTGTGTCTCCTCTCTGTGCATCTCTTACAAAGATACTTACCACTGAATTTAGGGCCCACCTGAGTAATCCAGAATGACCTCATCTCAATATTTATTTATTTATTTATTTTTGAGACGGAGTCTCTCTCTGTTACCCAGGCTGGAATGCAGTAGCACGGTCTCAGCTCATTGCACACTCCGCCTCCCGGGTTCAAGCAATCCCCCCACCTCAGCTTCCCAAGTTGCTGGGGTTACAAGCGTGTGCCACCATGTCCAGCTAATTTTTGCATTTTTAGTAGAGATGAGGTTTCACCATTTTGGCCAGGATGGTCTCGAACTCCTGACCTCAAATGATCTGCCTGCCTCGGCCTCCCAAAGTGCTGTGGTTACAGGCGTGAGCCACCATGTCTGACCACAATATTCTTAATTGTACAAAGACCCTTTTTCCAAATATGGTTACATTCACAGGTTCTGAGGATTAGGATGTGGACATACCTTTTGGGCAGCCTTAACTGAAAACTCACTACACCAGGAAAGAGGATTTATAATAATTTCTGTTATTATTATTTCTCTTATAAAATGAGTAAGATTAATATTTCCTTTTTAAAAAAATTATTTTATCATGGTAAGAATATTCTCCTTAGAAACTGTAAAGTGTACAATATATTATTGTTAGCTATAGGAAAAATGTTGTACAACAGATCTCTGGAACTTATAAGATGAATTTCTTTTTAAGCAATTCTACGGTCTGTTCAGAATCTATGAGTACCTTTTACATGTTATTGTTGATCTAATATATGGTAAAATATTTCTATTTCATTTATTAGCTATAATATCAAACATTGAACAGGTGACTCATTTACCATTGATAAACTTTAAGAGAAGAAGAATATTTATTGAGCTGTGACTCAAAAATTATGGTAACGATTAAAAGCACTTTAAGTATCTTCAACTTCCAACAAAGCTTTTGTGATTACCACCCGTCATTTTGCTTTCTGGTACCAATGTGAATGTGAATGAATCTGCTGCTCTTCACCTTGGATCACATTACCTAGAGCTGCCCATGTGGGAAGCAACATGATCCCAAATCAAATTAAATCCTTATGCTTTACAGCATCTGAGCTTGTAATGGTAACAGTAGTCCCTGAAAACTGCAAATGTTTAAAAGTAAAGGGTCAAATCCAGTTTCATACAATAATAATTGATCCCACTTTGCTAAAACTCAATTGAAATAAACCTTTTCAGGTCTAGATATTATCTTTTTGAGGATTCTGGCTATTGGCCCAAAAATAAAGATTTCAGCCGCTCTGGAAACTTGGTAGCTGGATCCAGCATGCGTTTACCTGTTGGAACAGCAGCGTTCCTGTTGGCTTGACGATCGGGACAAATTTCAGGTTGTGATATAACACTAGATTCCTTAGCTTAATTGATCTGGGATTTACGTTTTAAATTACTATTTATTTTTATCAATTCATGGTATATTAATTCACATGGCTTGCTCTCCCTATTTGCAGCCAACCATCTCTCGGGTAGGACTTTAATTTCAAGTGATTGCATGAGACTGTAGGGTACTTCCTGATTGGGCTTCGTGGAAGCCCAGGTGTTGACGGCTCTGGAGGTGAACTGCTCGTTTATTCCAGCACTCCAGGGTTAGTTTTGGTGTTTTCCTCAGTAGAAGTGTGCCCACTGAGAGCCTGCCTTTCCAAATTGGCTCCAAAGGTTTTTTTTTTTTTTTTTTCCCCCATAGATATCATCTTTCATTTGTCTTTAAAAAAGGCATCCTTTTCTTTTTGCCCCCAAGAAGTATTCCTTCCAAAATCCTTTAAAATTTCCAAAAAGTTCTCCTTTCTAGGCTCTCATAGATAGGGAAGAATTGATCATCTTCAGGATAGCAATTTTG